TACGACGACAACAAGGGATACCAGCGCGAGGCCAGGCCCGTGCACAATCCCAAGGAAGGCAGCGACCCTCCGGGGGCTGCGAGCGGGCCGCTCGCCGACGACTGGTATGAGACTACCGCGCCCCAGCACCTCGGCCACGAGTCGTACTATCCAGACTTTTTGCGTTTCTTTCAGCACGACATCGCACGCCGCGACGAGGAGGCGAATAAGGCCGGCAGCAACCTGGCCGGCTGGGAGGCCGTGCTGCGCGACCGCGTGTTTTCGGGCACGCCGGCTGCCGAGGATCTGCGGACACGCCTCTTTGCGGGGTTCTTGCATCCGCTGATCCAGCTCATGTACGGCATCGAGTGGGGCGAGCCGGCAATTGTGGCTCAGGGTCTGGCCCAGGCCGCCATCCACAAGCACCAGGGACTCGACGACGTGTTGTACAGCATGGAAAAGGCGGCAGACGCCGAGAAGGCCAAGACGACGGGGCACGTCAGCATTCTGTCCCTCTTCCAAGAGGTCGCCCAGTCGCCCCAGCTGTCGTCGGCCGCGCACTGGGACGACCCCAACAAGATGCGCAACGGCGTGTTGGCGCGGGCCCTCAATGAAATGGTGGCCGTGGCTGCAAAGGTCTCCGTCCCGGCAACGGAAGAAGGGCTGGCCGCACGGACGGCCGAGATGGCCGAGGCGTGTCTCTACGTGGCGTCGTCGGCCGCGCTGCAACATCCCACCAAGTACACAAAATTTGATTTCTTCCTGATGTGAGATTCGCCAAAGTCCCCGAACACCGTTCGTTTTGCACCCCGTCATTCTTGGTATGTTTGAGATCATCGACTTACAATTGTGTGTAGACACCATGTCAACTCCGTACCTTTCTTCCTGGCAATAAACTCCTTTGTGTGGCTTTCGGTCGAAGCCAAGGCCCGTCTGCTCGAGTGGAAAATCCGCCTGGACCTCGTCCAGTACGCATCGCGGGCGTGCCCGCCGCTGCTCGACGTTTCCAAGCTCGAGGCGTACAAGTCGCCCCCGTCCAGCAACGCCTCTGCTCATCCGGCGGCGGATGGGCCCTCGACGACGAACAACAGCATCTCGCCCGAGGCCACGGAGGCTGCCGCCCGCCTGTTTCACATGGAGGAGGACGGGCATGCCATCAAACTGGTCCGCGCCACCGGCCTCATCGAGCGCGAAGTACGCAAGTCGCTGTTCACGAGAACGCCCTGCCGCCTCCTCAACTCCGATCGCGTCTGGGAGGCCCTCTACCGTCTGGAGACGGACTCGGTTTTTGCGCCAGGCAATACCTATGTGCGGACCACTGGTCTGGAGCAGGCCTGGGAAGTACGTCCAACACAATCGGAACCGAACCCGTGCGACCGTCCAACATGTTTGTTTTGCTAACCTGGCTTTACATTGTAGGATATTCCAGACATCTCCAAGTAGATTCGTTGCTCAAAAAATGGGTTATGATTGGGTTTAAATTTCAGAATGTATACATTTCTGTGCAGTTTTGCTTTGTCCTCATACGCCCAAAATGTAGCATCTATGCATTGTTTGATTTCCTTAATAGTGGCAAACAAAACAATATTCAACTGGTGTCAGACAATTAGAAAATGACGCACCAGGGTGGACAGATTCAACGCAGAAAGATCAGGCAAGAATTCACGGCAAGGGAGAGAAAACATTCGGATTTCTGACGTGTCTACAATAGTAAGAAAAAAAAATGAAACACAGTAAAGCCAAGCGAACGAAAATATGGGGGAGAGCGTCGGACAATGGAACAAAAGCAATCCGCAAAACCGGACGACAAGTAAGAAGGAAACATAAGAAAGAAAGTGTGAAAAAGTAAAGAAGATGAAATGAAAGAAGAGCGCAACAAAGCCAGATACAAAAAGTAAAACGCAACGTTGACCAACAAAGGAAAGAGAACATGACCAAGAAAAGAGAAAAAAGAAGAGACCAAAAAACAAAAAGAAATAGGCAGACCCTGCCCATGGCCAACAAGAAGACTTGAATGGACGTGGCGGATGGGATTGAGACGCAGGGAGAGAGTAGGTGAGTCAAAAGACGTAGCGCCAACGGTAAACGCCATCTCCCCGTCTATGTCACCCTCTCTGGGCTTCTGTTCCCTTGGTCTTCCCAAATAGCCTCCTCAGTGCTCATCCTCGCCCCTCTCCAAATGCAGGCCGTTCGTACGGTCAACCTACCAGAATGCACCCCAATACATGCCCTCCAAATAGGACACAATGCCTCGCCCGCCATCCGTCCATAGACTACCATACATAAAAATCGGTGACTGGGGGAATAGGCCCATCCCTTCCGCTGCCTCTACTCACATAAAACCAAAACCCCCAAATTTTGGTGTTCCTTCTTTATATCGTCCGGCGGTTGCAACGGTCTCCTTTTGTTCGACTTTTTTCATGTTTCGCTTTATTATTTTTTCCCACATCGCCTCCCATTCCCATCACCGTCCCGACGAGCCGGCCGAGTTTTGTCGTTCACGGCCCTGCCCCGGTCGGCGTTGGGCCCGGTCCGGGTCCTGCAGCTTGAGCGAGTCGAGACGCTTCTGGTTGTCCTCAGCGTCGTTTTCGTCGAGACGGGGCAGCAGCGTGGCGCCCGCGGCCGCGCCAGTCTGTAAGCGCGACAGCGAGTTGGCGGTCGCCGCGGAGCCATTGTTGTTGCTGTTGCTGTTGCTGTTGCTGATGCCATCCTTCCGCAGGTCGGCCTGTTCCTGAATGGCGGCCCATTTGTGCTCGCGCAGGGCTTCGCGGGCGCTGGCGGACTGTTGGTGCTCGGTATACTCGTGGGAGCAGTCGTCAAACAGCTGCGGGTTGATCTCCATAAACAGCTTCATGGCATTGTAGACCATACCGTGGATGGTGCGATTCCAGTGGCCCTTGCTGTTCTCGTAGAGGGGTGCAAACATGATGGGCAGGATGATCTCGACGTTGTCACTGACAAGGTTGCAAAAGTACTCATTGTTCCAAAAGTAGAGCGCGCGCTCGGCGACCTGGAAGTGGGGGCTGGCGACCGACTTGGCCAGTTGGTGGAACAGCGGCTCCTGGACCTTGGCGAACTCGGCCGGGTCCATGACCTCGAAGATGTCTTCGACCTCGTTAAGGAACATGACCTCCTTTGTGCTGTTGACCTTGGGCCAGTACCGCAGCAGGCCCAGTACGACGTCTTCTGTGAGCGATGCGTCCTTTTCGAGGAACTGGACAATACAGTAGGCCAGCTGCGGGTGGTACATGCTGAGACTCTTGACCTTGTGCAGCGGCAGTAGAACGCGGGTCAAGAACAGCTTGTGCTCCTCCTTGAGCGGCAGAGCAAAGCCGTTGATAATGGAACCCAGGATCTCAAGAAGCTCGGCGATGCCGTTGAAGCGCTCGGTCTCGTAGGTGAATTGGAAGAAGACGTTGTTGATGGAGCGTCGGATAAAGGAGCGCAGGTTCAGGAACTTGCCGTAGATGCGATGCAGGGTGGTCTTCAAGAAATCGCGCTCGCGCGGGTCCTCGGAGTCGAACAGCTCGAGCAGCTGCAGGACGAAGCTGTGGTCTATGTACGCCTTGGCAATGTTTGTGTTAAAATCTTGGCTCTCGATGAAGCGCAAAAAGAACTCGTAAACGACCTGGATGTGTGGCCAGGCGACTTCCAGCACAGGCTCGTCCTCCTCTGGGTCAAAGGCCTCGCCCTGCGGGTTGACGGGTGGCGGGATGGGGCGGAACAGGTTCTTGGCGAACATCTCAACAACGCGCGGGTACATGGGTTCGGTGATGACCTGGCGGTTGTTGGCGACGTAGTCGAGCAGCTCGTGCAGGGCCAGACGCTTGATTTCCTTGGACTTCATATCGGAGCTTGCGTCGTTAAAGTCGAAGATGACGTTGCACTGATCGATCTTTTGCATGAACAGGTCCTGGCGGCGGTTGGGAGGCACCTCATGGAAGCCGGGGAGCTTGTCGAGCTCGCGGTGCGAGGAGATATCAAAGCGCGACGAGTGCTGGCGTTTTGGTGTGCGCAGGCCCTCGGGGACGTCTTTGGGCGTGGACTGGAGCAGGCGGTCGTAGACGAGCGACTTCTGGCCGGCCTTGGGCGGCGCCAGGTCGTGTGGCATGGTCTCGGCGGCGCCCGGTGGAGGGACATGGGGCGCGCTGGGGCTGACAATGACGGTTGGCGGTAGCTGGCCGAGGCGGCCTGGTGAGTTGGTGCCAGAGCCAGCGCCGGCGTTACCGGCACCCGAGGCTCCCGGCTGTGCACCGCCCATGCTACTGAAGCGGTCGGGCACGCCCGGGTTGGCCTGGAGGCCGCTCAGGCTGCCAATGTGCGGGGGTTGGCCGGAAACAGAGGCAGGGCCGCCGCCGCCGATATGCTCGCTACCGGCGATGCTGCCGAGGGCACTGGCTGCGTTGCCTGGCGGCAGAGGCTTGTTGCGGATGTCGTTGACAGTAGAGGTGGAAGAAGATGGTGTGAGGACGGGGGACTGGCCGGCGGAGTCGCGGGCGTTACTGGAGGAGGGCGAGGCGGTGCCGTCTTTGGAGTCCTTGTTCTTTTTGGACTGTTTGTTGGGGTCCTTGCTTCGCGAAAGCTGGGAGAGGAGGGTTAGGAGTTAGCATTTTGTCGTGGGCGGAAGGAGAGGTGACGATGGCCGCGACAAATAGCAATGAAAACAAGACAGGGCAGGGATGAGCGGCAGCGTCGTCGCATTTTGGGCCAACGCCGGGCTCTGTGGTGTGGAGGGGACAATGCAGGGTGGGACGCGCGTAAGGGAGGGCAAAGATGATGGCAAGGGAATGGAGGTCTCGATGCAGCTTAATATGGTAACGGTCATGGGGAAGACGCTCCTCCCGTTTTGCCAGAGAAGCCCTCGAGCATTTGAGATGGATGCACGGTGTTTCTGGGATGGAATGCAAAGCAACGTACCTCGCGCTTGAGCTTCAGTTTGGAGAACATGGCGCCTGTGTGGCCGCGTCGGAAGCAGGAAGAACGGGTGTGTGGTAGAAGGGAACAGGACGACTACCGCGAGAATGGTGGAAGAAGATGAAAAGGAGGGACGCGAGAGTCTTGTCGGTGGGTTGGTCGAGTCGCGGTCTACAGGTTGGATCTTGGATCGTGGCCTCTCAAAATTAATCCACGTCCGACTACACGTTCGGCGCTCGTTCTCTTCGCTGCTGGTATCACAAGTCCGTCCTCGGCGCGGGCCAAGGTTTCGATCAAGCTGCTCGTCGACGAGAGGGAGAATGGCTCTCAAAACAGACAGTGGTTGGCCCCAATTCGCCGCCTTCGACGGGAGGGGAGGCGGGTGACGAGGGGAGCCGCGGTCGCTCTCGGGCAGGACGACGACGACGACGACGACCAAAGGCTCAATGTCGAGCTTGGCCTACAAGTTCTGTTGTCGTCCGTTTGCGTTCCTTTTTCTCGCCAATCTCGTCAATCGCCGTCCGATGCTGTGGCCGTTGCGGGTGGTGATGTTCGTGTTGGTGGCATCAAGCGTCAATGGGCCTTACTCGTCTTTGTGAGCACGATGCACGTCGTTGCCTCTTCGCGTCTTAGTGCTTTCGTCGGGGCCTCGTTCGTCCTCGTTCGCTGGCTCGCAGTTTGGTTCCCTGCTTCACAAATCACAAAGGCGGTGCAATTTGCAATGGGATTGAAGGCATGCAATGGCAGAGAGAGAAAGAAGGGGAGTGAGGGCCTTTGTTGCGGAGAGAAAGGTGTGCAGTGGGCAATTGTTTGTTTTGGGAAGGGACTGGCTGGCTGCTCAGGAGGAAGGAGTTCTGGGCAGGTTTCGGTTGCGGGGCCTACTAAGGCGAGGAAGGAGACGAGGAAGGAGGGAATGGCAGGCGGCTGGCGGAAGACGGTGGACTTGACAATAGTGGGCAGTGGGCGGTAGGCGGTGGGCGCCAGCAGGTCCGTTTTAGTGGACCTGGCGGTATTACTCCGTATGTCTGACTAACTAACGTCGCAGAAAGTGGGCAGATTGCCGCTAAATGCAGGCAAAACAGGTGTTGTTGAACTGGGGGGCAGCGCACCGGGCTTGTGCAGATTTCCGTACACCGCAGCGAAAGTTTGGTGCTATGATGGCGCTGGCGTGCAGATTCGAGGGACTCACTTCTCTTTGTTCGGCGCCGGGCTACTGTCTGGAGAAAGCTTCGTTTGCCTAGTCCGGCTGGCCAATGGCAAGTCGTGTGGTAAGGGGCAGCTCCAGGCGTCCATAGCACGTAGTGATTCCAAGGCTTAGGTAGGAAGAAAAAGAGCTCCTTCTTCCGCCCCGCCATTATCAATCAACACACAAACGACACATCTCACACTTTGATAATTTTGCCTAGCCGACTCAGATCCCTTTACTTTCTATTGTGCCCTCACTTTGATGACTTGTGTCCTTTCACCCAGACAGGTCGAAAAGTATCATCGACTGCATTGTCACCCGTCATCCCACCCAACGCAAGCATGGCCAGCAACAATAACTTCCAACTCTCCGCAAGCCTGACCGGCCACGAAAAAGACGTAGGTCAACCTCAACGCATGCCGGCTAGCGGTGCCTGAATTCGGCTACGAACCCGATAATTTCAAAAACCAAAGGGATTTCAAATATTAACACATAAGTAGGTCCGCGCCGTCTGCTTCCCGGTTCCAGGATCAATATATACTGCCTCTCGAGACTGTACAGTCCAAGCGTGGAACGAGGCGTCCGCGCTTCCGCCTACATACTCTGGGAACCTGCTGGCCCAGGGGCCTTATTCGTTCAACTCTCTTGCTTTCCTCCCTCCCTCGGAGAATCGCCCACAATACCCAAAGGGCCTTGTTCTTGCTGGTAGCCACGGCCATACAATCGAAGTTTGCCAACCAAATGCAGACATCTCTGGTGCTCGTGTCGCCCTGCTCTCTGGGCATACCAGCAACGTATCAGCACTCAGCGTTTCCCCGAACGGCGATTTTGCAATCTCCGGCGACTGGGATGGACGTGCAAAGCTCTGGAACACAAACACATGGGAAGCTGACCTCGAACTAATTGGCCCCGATCCCAACGACAAACAACGAGCTATATGGGCAGTACTTGCCTATAGCAATGCCATTATAATGACTGGCTCTGCCGACCATGTAATCCGTGGTTATAGTCTCCAGACAAAGAGAGAGAAAGAAGGAGAACTGCAGCCTGGTGTGTTCATCCGTACGCCCGATGTCGTGCGCGCATTGTGTCGAGTCCGTAAACACCCAAGCAATGCCCAGGTAGCAAGTGCGGGAAATGATTTCTTGATTCGCCTTTGGCAGTTTAATGGAGCACAAGTCGGAGTCCTCCGTGGCCACGAGAGCTTCATCTACGCGCTGGACAGCCTACCAACCGGCGAGCTAGTCAGTTCCAGCGAAGACCGCACGGTGCGCATCTGGAAGGATCAGTCATGTATTCAAACTATCACCCACCCAGCACTCTCGATCTGGTCGGTTTCGGTGTGCCAAAAGACGGGTGATTTTGCGACAGGCGCCAGCGATAACATTGCGCGTATCTTTACCAGGGACCAGCAGAGGACCGCCTCCGAGAACACGCTCAGGGAGTTCTCCGAGTCCCTCCAACGCTCGTCTATACCCCAACAGCAGATGGACGACATCAACCCCAACACTCTACCTGGTCCAGAGTTTATCGAAACGAAGTCTGGTACAAAGGAAGGGCAAACAGTTATGATCAACTCTGGAAACGGAAACATCAGCGTCTACCAATGGTCTGTGGGTAAGTAATTGAAGGAATATCGGTATCTCGTTACTAGTGGAAGGAGACTAATGGGGACCTATGTATTGCTTTTCAGGACAAAACCAGTGGCTCCTTGTTGGATCCGTTGTGGACTCATCGTCCCACGAGGTTGAGACCGAGACAACGACGGCTATCGACTCGGTTACAGACGGCGACTCCCATGCCGGCCATGCACTTGGACCGTATGCGGTGTTTGTCACTTTGGCCCAGAGTAACTTCACACGTAGGTTCACACCCGTTTGTTGTCTCCTTTGTCCATTACCTTCTGTACTAATACAACATTTTCTCAGCCGTTCTAAATCGGATAAAGACCGTCAACAGCACCCTGTCAGAACAAGGTAGCAAGGTGTCTTTGGGGGCAGATCAAGTGGGACAATTAGCATCGCTGGTCCAGACACTGTCCAGATCCGCTCCTTCAATCCCCACGACTGTTCCTGCCATGGTTCCCGCTGTGGTGACTGAGTCGTTCAGTCTAGAACCAAGCGCCATTGCTTTGGTTCTACAGGCGGCAACCACATGGCCCTACAAGGATAGACTTCCGTGCCTGGATCTCCTGCGGTGTATGGCACCGTCGGTGTCACTTCCAGAGTATATTGGAGGCCAAGGTGAGGATATCTTAACCGTATTGCTCCCGAGCATTATAGACTATCCGAAAGAGAGTGGGTCAGAGCTGGTTGCTGATCCAAAATCGGTGGAAAACAATGCCATGATGGTGCTCCGTCTCATTACAAATCTCTTCGTCACTACGCCAGGCCAACGACTCGCCGTTAAGAGGATACATGAGATAGTCGAGTTTCTATCTCATATCCTCGACATAACGGCGCGGAAAAACCGCAACATGATGGTGGCATGGGCATCCGCAGCTAGCAATATCACATCATTTGCTCTTCGGGAACAAGAAGCCACGGGCCAAAATTCGGTTGATGACTCCTTGGTCAAATTGATCAAGTTGCTCGCCGTACCAATCTTGGACCTCACCGATGCCGAAGTGGTCTACCGCTCGCTCATTGCTCTAGGTAACCTCGCAAGCATTCCTGGCCAAGGCGACTTCGCAGGGCAAGTGCGATCCGCCAGCGCCGGTACGTGGGTCAATCTGGCCATTGGAAAATCAGAAGAGGCCAGAGTCAAGTCGGTTGGCGAAAAGGTCTTGAAGACATTTGCAACATAACTTGCAACATGAAACTTTGGGTACGTTGTGCAGTGGGATGGGATTTCTGGTGTGCTCACACCTCACCTTCTACAGCTGCTCTTCACACACTAGGAATGAACAAACAGAGTCAAGCCCATATGTAGGCAAAGCGTACCCTACCTTTCGAAGTCTTGTGATGCTGTTGCTCGCCGCCGCCCGCTCCTTTACGTAACATGTCGAAGAGGAGGATGGTTCGTAAAGCTGTTTTGAAAAACGCTTCGGATCTCGAACGTGTGGTCTTTGGATCGCCCAGTTCCGACGCACCCGCAAAATCGTGCCATACCGACCAATAGAAAGTCGGGTCTCAAGAAGCAATGGAGTGGTTGTTACTCAAATTCAAAACACAGTTGCCTTGTAGAGCTGATGATTAAACCCACGAACGCATAACTAAGCTTAGCAAAATGTGAAAATAAAACGCCATGTAAACCGGTATCGAAAATTGCCCACCCGGGTATGTAATATATACAGCTGACAGAGGAGAGAGCGACCACGTTAGAAGTATTGCAATCATCGCTGCGGTCAAGTCCAAAACGTCGTATCAACAAAGCGAAAGATAAAACTCATGAGAAAGCACGCTGATAGTCGCGAGCCGTAGGTGTTACATCGACTATATCAGCAGCCACAGCCCGCCAGCGAGAACAGGTAACCAGCCAATAAAGTGCGTCCATACTGACGGTGCACCCTGTGACCTTCGCAACATGAAAGAGGCCACTGCATTTGACGTCGTTCCATTGCTTCCAGCGGCCCTGGTTGTGATTGTGTACACGTCGGAAAAGCCAATGTCAGTGCTATTGAAGCAGTTGGTCTCGTTGACATTAGCCAGTCGCGGATCATTGTCCTCGACAAACGTGATGTCCACACACTGACCGGCAGCAGGTTAGTTTCCAAGCATTGCCAAGTCGTCTAAGAGAAATACAGAGAATACCCACAGAGTACAGAGCGGCGCCATGGACGGCCAGCTCGACAACCTGGATTGTAGCATTGTCGCCGGCACGGACAGATGCGTTCACTGGAAGCGGAACTTGGGGCAGGCAGATGGTGCCCGGATACGGGTTCTTGGAGGGCCCTATGATACCGAACTGGGGAATCATGGGGTTAGACATGTTGGGTGGGCCGCCATTGGGCCCGTCGGTTCCGAAGCCGAGATTTATGAAAATCTGGGCCGTGGCATGGCCCTGGAACCAACCGGGTTGGAATGCAATGGCGCCGCCGGAGACCGGCCAGTAGGTACGATTTGTAGTAGTATTCATACCACCACCTGTGAGGAACGAAACAAGATTAAAGACATGTCAGAAACTGCTGAAAATGGCTATTTGTTGTCGCCCGCAATCTTCTTGTAGCCGCAAGAAAGACCCAGGAACGCGTATGATGAGAGTCACTTACACGGATACATCCATTGCATGCCGTACGGAAATGTGTCGTTGGTTATCAGATTGTCCCCTCTCCACCCTGGGTATGTCAACACAGTGTGTGCAGACGCCAGCACCGCGCCGGTCACGGCGACGAGTATTGCAGAGAACATGATTATGTGCACCCTCTATACTGCGGCTGGGGTAGAGGGCGGTAATAGAGTTCAGGGGCGATCACGGTCCAACAAAAGGTTAGGTCAGATCGTGTTGGCTGGTTCTCGATATTCTTCGACGGCAGAAGTCCTGTTCGTGCCGAACTATCTTCCAACTGCGCAGCAGATACGGAGAAAGACGACTTGCGGATCGGCGTTGGAGGCCAGTCGTGGAGTCAGGTGAAAACGGCGACGCAGCGGCGTGCAGATGAAGAGATCGAGAGAAAGAACTAAATAAAGCCGAGGGCGGACGATGACAATTGCGCGTCGTAGGGCTCCAACTTAGCAGGGGAACTGAGAAGGAATTGTACGAAAGTTGGTCAACAGCAGATGAAGTATCATAGCACGGCTGTCTTTTAAATGACAAGTCCAGGAAGCCAAAGATTGACGACGGCGCATGGGAGGGCATAAATATAGAAATGCTTGCCCAGGGAACGCAGCGTCCGCGGTATCCCTACTCGTGCGCGTCGCCCAGCCGGGCGCCAGTGGGATGGACGAGTAGGGGAGATCCATAAAGTGTGCCAGCCCCAGCCAAGCAAATCATTCATTTGCGTCGAGGTACCACACGCCCCATGCACGGGAAGGAGGGCAGTCACTCCTTCTGTATATAATATTGCGCATGCACCAAAATCTAGCGGCAAAGGGGGGGAAGTGCGTCCATTCTGCAGTAGATGGTTTACACCGCACATACAAACTCTGGCCCTTGTTCGTCCAAGATCCAATGATCGCACGGCGTCCAAAGGCCATTTTCTTTGGCTTTCTCCACTTGCCGTTCTTCCAACCGCTGGGGGGGGGGTTTCCAAACAAGAGATATTCGCTCTGCCGAATCAGCCTCTGTGGAAGTTTCTGTGCGCAACTAACAAAGGAAAAAGAGAAGGCACTTTCCCGTGTCGAAGCGCCGCACAACACAAATGCGGGCGGCAAGAGGGTGCGAGTGTCACGGTCATCGGCATACACCCCAGTGCATATCACATGGCCAGCCAATAGCAGCCGCAGCTGGTTCTGAAGGAGGGTCCGTAGCCCACAGACCTTCAGGATGGGCGGTTCGTCGCCAGCCAATAGAATTGCTACAGAAGCACCTCGTCACCTGCAGATGCAGTGTCGATGTCTCCCATTAGCCCAAGGCGGATATCAATGCAACGTTCAGCGTGCATCGTGTACCCACGCGGGTTCACAGAGCGGACCGAGAGATTCGAATTTGAGGAGGAGAAGCATGGGTGCCAGTTGAAGCCCAAGACATCTAGCAATACCACACATGTCTCACAAATACCCCGTTCGGCGCGATGTGCTTAACACGAGCGAGGCCTAGGCCAAGACTTGTCGCAGCAACGACGATTATAAGGTAGTCCATGGGGATCAAGGCCGGTTTGTATTGTAGACGGCGGTGGTAGCGGCGGCGGCGTAAAAGATGGACACTCTGACTCAAGAGCCTGGCTGGTCCAAAAAGAACCTTCTCTATGGGTATTTCTACAACATGTACATGTCCTCGAGACATATCGCCGGATGTTCGGGCGACGGCAGAAATCAATTTTAAGCGCCGACATTTTAATGTGTGACGCATTGGTGTGGTGCCAGGCTGGGGGATAGCATAGATGTACGGGAAGTGGGTCGTCGTCTAGAACGCCCAGTAATATGTCCATAGACTTACCTGTCGATACGGCGCGTAAAAATAACATGAGTACTGTGTTTTGGGTATCAGTCGTTTATGTTACGGATATGGCTTAGTAGGATATTAAAAGTTAGGACAGTACGAAGAATACTGTAAAAGGAAACTAGTCAACGTGGTTGACAAGCGAGTGAATCAGACAAGCGAGTGGATCACTTCAATTTTCACTCAAAATCGAAATTTTCAAAAAAACATAACTTCACCAAAAACATTCTTAAAACAGCTAGGATTTTCAAATTCATTAAATAACTGTAAATAGTATGTAAAACAATCCCTATAAAAATTCTAATTTTAACAAAACATGGGTAGATAGGAAGTGGAGATTAATTTTAACCTTTATTTTTTATTTTGTAAAGTTCTACGCATTTAAAAAATTTAAGAAATTTGTTTTACATAAGTTCTATATTACTTGAGTGAATTTGAAAATCCTAGTTGTTTTAAGAATGTTTTGGCGAAGTTATGATTTTTTGAAAATTTCGATTTTGAGTGAAAATTGAAGTGATCCACTCGCTTGTCTGATTCACTCGCTTATCAACCACGTTATAAAGATTATACTTTTAACAGTTCTTAAGAAGACTTATGTGCGTATCTTATAATATTTGGCCCGTGCATATGTTTCCGGGTTGGCAGGTGACATGATGACTGTACGTGTTGTACGAAGTACTGACGAAGGTGCTCCGTACTCTGCATGTACAACTCCGTGTAGCGTATTGCTTGGCGCTCCGTGGCCCGCACCGAAAGTTGGTCAATTCATAACGAACCAGTCTCCACTTTTATTGCCCTGTCTCTACAATGTTCGACTCGGAAGTGCAGGTTTTCCAGCTCAAATTAATGTTGCGTCGTGTATGACCCAGCATGCCTGAGGGGCCGAGTTTCACTGCCGGTCGCAATGACCCCAGCGACGCGCCTTGGGTCACCGTCCCCGCTAAGGGTGGGCGCAGGCGAGGGCGCCAGGCTGTTGAGAGGGCCATCAACTCTCATGATCCTCCCGAGCAGCCGCCCGGTAGATCCAGTGGTACGACCAGGGATACATCAATGGTGACGGCATCGGGCGTCGATTCTGGTGTGCCTACGCATGTCAGGGCGGAGCATGAACGTGTTGCCGCATGGTGGCGGGAGCAACCATCGTGCATGAATCTTCGCGACCTCATAGAGACGCATTCACCTAGCCATGCAGCTGTCACACGTGCCGTTTGCCTCGGTGCTGGCTCGTTTGGGGGCCCGTTGGATTTTGGCGAGTCTATACGCAGGGCCCATATCCAAACAGAGGCATTTCTTTTGATCGTTGAGGAGTTGAGTACGTATACCAACAAATACCGTTCGCCGGTGCCGAGTGTCATTTCGCCAGTCGGCAGCTTCATGGCTAGGCAGGATCGCAATAAGTTCCCTACGGCTGACACAATGAAATTCTATGATAGGTCGCCAGAGCGGTCACGCAATTGAGTGTTTCTTCCAGGAGCCTCTATATACCAGTGCGGACAAGGCATATCTCATAGGTCTAGGTCATACTGTCATCGAGACACCAGCTGCATATCAGATGATAGGTCCGACAACGATGGTTTTTGCTATTCATCTTCCTACTCGGGAATACCTTGGTTGCCTTCTAGACGCCGTGCCTGTAATGCTCATTGGGACCGGCTATGAAACATATGAGGAGTAAGTACATGTACCTGTGGGCTGGGGGGAAATACAACCCCTTTAATACTTCTTCTCGTTAGTATGATTCACGTCTTTATGTCTACGGCTAATAACGTAAGTAGGTTGCCGCAGTTTCTCATGGGGGATTCTGGCGCTCTTGGCCATCTTCGTCACATTCATAACACTTATCAACGGTTTCGCTTCCCTTGTGAAAAACATGATCACTGTTTCTCTGATACATTTATATATTGGCGACCTTTACGTATGAATATATAGCGGATTGAAAAGTTAATATATAATCTTATTAAATATAATTCCATGTTTTTAACATTACATTCACATCAAAGGTTGTTGTCACGACATAAGGACTACTACGGCCAAGGACCGTCGTATCGTAGCGTAGCAACGTAACGTAACCATGAACAAGTACGAGAGTGGTTAACTAAACTAACCACACTTTAAAAATAAAATATAAAGAAACAAAACTTGAAATTAAAAAAATAAAGTAACAATAAGTATAATTATCACAAGTATACTCCCTTTGCGGCAACTTAACATTACGTCTTATTACAACATTACTTAATAAACCTAATATTATAAATAGTTGCGGAATAGGTCTTCACGATAGATTAGTTGTTGAAAAGTAATAGTTTCGAGGGCGAAGGCAGGTGTATATTATAACAGAAACTAGTTCTTACACTTTCTTTTTAAAGGGGACAAGGGAGGCCTGTTATTTAAAGAAAAACCCGTTTCGTTAACATAGTATTTTAGTGTGATTATTATAAGTGTTTATTAAATAAGTAGAAAGTTAACTACTTAGTTAAGTTTTAATTATTACTCGGTTGTACTTTTTTTATAATTTTTACCCGTCTTTTTTAATTTAACGAATAATCTTCAAGTAAATTACTTATCAATTATAAAAAAAAATAGTTCCTAGTTTTTTTTTTTTCCTTTACGGATGTTTTTTTATAATACTCTACTACTTTTCGTATACAAATCGTTACTCGTATTTTTATTAATTCTTTCTATAATTCGACTTTTTATAACTTAATTATAAATTAATCGTTATTTAATGATTTTTTTATGATATACTTTTTATTATACATTTATATTGTAAATATAACGGTAATGAGAGTGTCAGGGTTGGGAATTAGTTGTTTTTCCTGGCAACTAAATTTAGTTGTACTAAATTTAGTTTTAATAACCCTCCCTGCTAAATTTAGTTGTTTTTTTAAGTAATTAAATTTAATATAATAAATTTCAGTAGATCTAATTTTAGTAAAACTAAATTTAATATAATTAAATTTAGTTGTTTTAAAAAAATTAAATAGTTGTTTATATTTATTTAAGTTAATACGTTATAATATTACTTATATTTTAATATTATTAATAAAGTAAAATATTAAATACTTTAAAAGTATATTATACTTAAAAATATAACTAATTCGATATTTATAACGAAAATAAGTTTTAAAAATATACTAACAAAAAACGTCATATTTCGTTTCTTAAAATATAATATTTTACTTTTAAAATTCCACTTAACGGTAATTATATATAAACTATTTATTTTAATTTATTTACGTTAAATATGACATTTATAACGAGTTTAACCGTTTACGGTTTAAAAATACAAGCAAGTCGAGTTTTAAAATATAAAAAGTAAAATTTCCGTTTTAAAACGTACTCGTTTAAAACGTTTATTACGTTTTATAAAAAGTAAGTTTCTATTTTTTTAAAGTTTATTTTATAGTAATTATATAAAATCGTTTTATTTTAATATATTACGCTAAGTATATTATTCACTATTAGTTTAACCGTATATTATTAAAAAATAAAATAAAATAAAGACTTAAAATATAAAAAGTAAAATATTAAGTTTTAAAAGTGTTACTTTAAAACGTTAATTACGGGTTTTAAAAAGTAAGTTTTTACTTTTTCAATTTTATTTAACGGTAATTATACGAAAACGTCTTTTTTTAATTTATATAGTTATATATATTATATACACCGTATAAGAGTTAAAAATAAATTTATGTCGAGTTTTAAAACGTAAAAAATATATAATAACTTTAAAAACGTATACTTTACAATTTTTTTTTTAAAAAAAAGTAAATAGTATTCTATATATTAACTTTATTATCGTTAAGTAATAACGAATTAAGGTTATTAATATTAAAAACCTTTTAATACCGTAATAATATAACCTCTTTAACCGTATTAAGTAAAGGACGGTTACGGTTTTAATACCGATATTATTACTAATAGAAAAAACCCTTTTAACAACTGTAGAAGTAGTAGGAATTGTTAAATATCGTTTAGTTAAGACACTAAATACTGGAAATTTCACCGAATTCGTTTTTTAATAATTAAGTGGTTTAACTTGTAATATCAAAGGTTAATAATAATAATAATAATAATAATAATACTAATAATAATAATAAACTCTTCGACGTTTTAATTAGGGCTTTATTTAACGTCGTAGTTTTATATTATTATTAATCCGTATTAAACCTTTTATAATAGTTAAATATTCCGTTCAATTAAACGGTTATTTTTTATTTTTTAAAATATATTCTTTTTTCGTTATAAAAGTATATTTACGATTACTTATAACTTTTTTAACCGGTATGTTAAAGTATAATCGTAACTTATTAACTTATAAATCTACCGTATTTACTACTTATTAAATTATTATGAAGTTTAAAAGTAAATTAAGTTTTAATAGTTTATAAATACCGTAAATCTTTCTTTTTAAAGTTTTAATCGTTACTTTTATAAAGCTAAAATTACCGATAATATATTTTTATTATAAATTAAATGGTTATATTTCGTTAAAAATAACTTTTTTAAGAAGTAAATTATTAAGTATTACGTTAAGTTATTCGTTTACTATAATAACCCTTCGTTTATTATATATTCCGACGAGTTTACGTTTACTCGTTTAAACCGGCCCGGTTCGTAAAAAGTTAATATTAAAACGTTAATTATAACTTTATATAATTAATAAAAAGTTTATTAATATTTAATAGTTTTTACAAACTCGTAATCCTTTTATATTAAACCGGTTAAAAGTATTACGATTTTAAAGTAGTTTATAATAAATTTATAGTAAAACTTCATAAAACTTAAAAAATCTTTATTCTTTTTTTATTATTATAAAAACCTTTTAGTTTTTAATTACTTTAATCTTTATAAAATTAATCGAAAGTCTGATTCTTAATCGTACCACGTAACTTAAAAACTTTAACTTTTTTTTTATAAACTCGTACTTTTTAACGTTTAATTATAACTTAGTCTTTTATAATTTTTTAATTACTTATTTAACGACCTTTTCGTAATCTTTAAAAGTACCGTTAATATAAACGGTTACGTTATTTATAAAAGTAAACGTATTTTTATTTAAATAATCCCGTAATACTTAATTAATATATCTTTAAAACGTCGTTAATATTTCGGTTAAACCGAAAGGTGTTATTAATTACTTATACGAGTCGGTTTATATATAAAAAGTTATTTTTTACTCGTTATTTAATTAAATTCGAATACGGTAAAAGGTCGAAATTACGTTTACTTTTAACACTTAACGGTTTTTAACTACCGTCCGTAACGTTTTTATTATTAAAAGTATTAAGTATAAGTGTCTTTTTATTACCGATTTTAATTTTTGGTAATTTATATAAAATCGTAAACTATCGTTCGTTTTTTTAACGAATAGTATTAACGTTTTCGTTAACGACTTATTAAGTTTAATTAGTCTTTAATTTAAAAGATTTAAAATCGTTTTTTTATAATTAAAAGTTTTTTTTTAATCGGTAATAAAACGGGTTTAAAAAGATAAATAGTTTTCTTTTATTCGGTCCTTTTTAAATTTTAATCTCGTAGTCGACGTTTAATTAATTTAATAATATTTTTTTTATAACCTTTCGATTAAAAACGTTCGTTATATCCCGTAATTATACTAATAGTTTCGTTTTAATTTATAATAACGTTTTTAATATGTTTTATATATATAACGTTTTTTATACGTTTTTTATACGTTTTTAAAAGTTACTTTTTAAACCGTTAATTAACCTTTCCGGGTTACTTTTCGTATTATTTTAAAAATTATTCGTTTCGCCGTTTTAATTAAACGTCGAAGGTTTTTATACGTTAAAACTTAAATACTTTACTTTTCGATTATGAGTTTATTATTAATTAAATTTAACCGTACTCCGTAACGGTTTATTTAATTTCAACTTAAAATCAAAAAAAATTTTAATTCGAAACGACGTAAGTTTATATATAACTAGGTTTTATATCCTTTTACGTTTAATTAAATCTTAACTACTTTTAAAATCTTCAGTAATAATTATTCTTCGTTAAAGACTATTATTTAACGTAACTTATACGGTTTTATTTATAACATTTTTATAACGTATACGTATATTTATTACTCGAATAATATTTCCGTTATTAAATAACTGATATTAGTAAAAATAAGGACGTTATATTAATTATTTACCGTCATATTTATATATATACTTTTAACGTATATTTTTAACTTCTCCCTTCGTTATTATTTTTTTAATATTATCTTTCGTTTTTTATTAAGTCTTTTATAAAGAGTTACTTGTTTTTTAAACCTTTCGTTAACGATAACGAGTTATTTAAACTCGTACTTTCGTGGTAGTTTACCGTAAACTTATTAAAGTTATTATAAACCTTTATTTAAAATTTTATAGTTAAGTAGTTTTTTTTTTAAATACTTTTTTTAACCGTAATTAAAATAATCCTTTATCTTTTTACGTACTTTAATCTTTTAC